CATAACTGGAACAAAGAAAAAAGACAGAGATACAGTTATTGAGCGCATTCTCTTCCGAAGGGTCAGCTAAGGGGTAGGTTCTCATCAGATCAGAGGTGGAAGAAGTGGTGGGAGCACTTGTTGATTTGCTGAGCACTTATGGGAATGTTATTTGATTTGGAGACTAAAGGATGCAGTAAATAACTGGATTTTTAGAACTTACAGTATTTTCAGTTATTATTACATATTGTTTAAAGAATCTCATTTTGGCACATTGTTTATATTTGTCTGTATATAGATGTCGTATGGATTTGTATTTATTCTGGAACACTGTGTGAATTTGTAAAAACTTTTATTTTTTAAGTAGGAAAATAGTTAAAGTGTACTGAAAAACGAACTATACTGCAGCTTACCAAACCTTAGATGTGGTGGCTGCATTAGTTTTCTTTTTTTTTAGGCTTTTTTTCCCTTTATTTTCACCTGGTGGTCCGGCCAGTAACACACTTCCTGTCTTAGGGTGGCTCCACTCTATGAAGGAGCAAGGGAGCCCCCCTTGGTCAGCAGCATTGTCACCCTGTGGAGATGGTAGACTGCTAAGCTGCAATATATTACATGTGTGTTATTGGGTTTAGATATGTTATAAATAGGACTGGTAAGCAGCAAGACTAATGCAGTCATCACACCTGAGGACTGGTAAGCTGCAAAACTAATGCAGTCATCACACCTAAGGACTGGTAAGCAGCAAAGCAAATGCAGTCATCACACCTAAGGACTGGTAAGCAGCAAAACAAATGCAGTCATCACACCTAGGGACTGGTAAGCAGCAAGACTAATGCAGTCATCACACCTAAGGACTGGTAAGCAGAAAGCAGCAAAACAAATACAGTCATCACACCTAGGGACTGGTAAGCAGCAAGACTAATGCAGTCATCACACCTAAGGACTGGTAAGCAGCAAAACAAATGCAGTCATCACACCTAGGGACTGGTAAGCAGCAAGACTAATGCAGTCATCACACCTAAGGACTGGTAAGCAGCAAGACTAATGCATTCATCACACCTAAGGACTGGTAAGCAGCAACACTAATGCAGTCATCACACCTAAGGACTGGTAAGCTGCAAAAAACTTCCATTTTTGTTCTTGAGTTTAGATATCCTTTAACAACTTCTTTTAACTTTTTATATGATTTTATTTCTTATTAAAGATTTAATTTCAGCTTATGTTCTGCCTTGCTCAAGAAGTTATTTTCACTCTGTCCTCCCTTAAAAATGTTCCATCAGGTTCCAAAAAACAACATCATACATTCCTTTATTAAAAGTGTTGGTGAAAAAAACAGGTACAAGCACAGATAGAGACTACCGCCGCACCATTGACAAAGGAGTCCTTGTATCTTGTGCAGCTCCTCAGGACATAATTATACTGTGATGACATGTATCACTCAACAGAAAGTTAAATGAACATCATTTAAAGTGAATACTTACCAGCTTTAGGTACATTAGTGGCATTGGAGAGATACAAGCCGCTCTTGTATAAGTAAAGTACCCTTTCAAACTGTGCAGCGGTTTCATCTATTCCCCAGCGCAGCTCTCCTAAATATTAAAACAGGTTTATTATAACAGGAGTCAAGGGCATCCCAGATATTGGATCATTGTTACATGTGAATGTTAGCTGTGTTATGGGGTCATTACAACAGTGAAGATTTGAAGTGTAGATAGATATAGAAGTACAAATGAAGAGGTCTATAAGCTAAAGCATTTTTTTTTTTAGTTTTATATACAGTGAGGAAAGGTTGGAACAGCTGTCAGGTTTATATTGCTGACTGTCCCCACATAGGGAATAGGAATGAGCTCGGGTTCAGTACAAACTTTTAGTTCATTGGAACTAAGAAGAAAGTTGTCAGTGTTGCCCAGTCAGCTGTTACCAGGGCCAACCGAGGCCCGCCCTTGGGGCAGCAGGGTGTAGAGGGGCAGCAGGGGTGGGGAATTCCTATCTCCCGATGCCCAGGACATGCAGTTCCAGGCACTGGGCGGGTAGTTGTTTTCTACATTTAGCCCTGCTTTGGGCAAGCAGGGCTAAATGTACGGCGGGGAAGCTGCCGCTTGTTTTGTTCAAGTGATCTCGGCGGTGTCGCAGAGATCACTTGTATGCAGCCTGCATACAGGGGGGCGCATGGAGTATCCTGGCATTGGGGCAGCAGAGAGAGTAAATCCGGCCCGGGCGGGGGGGCCCTGCACATCAATAAAGGGGTGGGATGCTGGTGACATCATTGACCTTTTAAGACCACATGGCCCCATTAGGTCAATGTCAATCACCAAATATGATCATGTGGCCATATAAGGTTGCCTGTTGTCTGAGAATGATTGCCTGGCTTTGATCTCTAGTATGCAAAGAGAAAAACAAATTCAACAATCATTAATTATTTATGTATAAAGTTTCCCTAGACTCTTGTGAATGGTGGATCCCCCTTGTGTAGGCTCCACCCTTTTCAAAAAGTATCTGTGACAAAAGCACTCTGCTTTATATGCAAGTCTGTTACTAACCTGAACAGACAACTATTTAAGAGAATATGTTGCAGCAGAGGTGGGCAACTCCAGCTGTGCTTTAACTACAAATCCCAACATGCCTTGGCCTCTGGGAGTCATGCCTGTAACTGTCATTCTTGCAATGCATCATGGGACTTGTAGTTCCACAACAGCTGTAGGGCCAGAGTTGTCCACCCCTGTGTTACAAAGAGCCTTGTCACTCCTCTCAAAACCCTTGTTATAACTACAGTTATTTAGCCCTTTCTCCCAAAAGCTTCATGGGAGGTCAGACAATGGAAAAGATGGACTTATTTACTGTATTCTGTAACTCTGCTGCCCTAGAAGAACTTAATTGCCTAGGCACTGTAAGAAGGGTGGAGAAAAGAAGGGAGTAAAGAAGCATCGAAAGGGAAGGATGAGTGAAAAGGTTTAAATCCCAATTAAACTCTCTTCTAAAACACAGTGAATTGATTCCAAGTGCAATAAAAGAGTAAGGTCACAGGTTTACCATTTGTTTAGCTGGTGAGGCACCAACAGCTATAGCAAAGTAACCATAATACTGCAAAGAAACAATGCTGCTCTCTGTGTGAAAGTAGCAGCCTCTCTGTAGTGGCCAACTCTCTATTCCTCAAATATCAAGCTTCCTGCTGATTGGAGAACTCTAGCTCTGACTTAGCAGGGGGCATATCAAACCTCTGCAGAGAGCTCACTGCTTCCACACAGAGAATGGGCTACTTTGTTATGGTACTGGCTGCTTTACCAGCTAAATGAACTGTAAGACCGTGATCTCTTACTGTTTTACTGCACCTGCAATCTATTCACAGCATTTTACAGAGAAGTTCAAGTTGGACTTTGACTGATCATAGACTGTTGCCAGACAGAGAGGTAGGTTTCATATGTACCTGTGGCATTGACTATGGCATCCAGCAGCGGCCTCAGCGAGGATGGTGCACTGTGCGGCAGGAGGTATGTAAAAAAAAACCTGCATCGAAAAAAAAAAAAGTCCACATTTAACAACATAAAACAGCCTGTTCTGTAAGAGGCCCCGCTCATATAATTACACTATTTAAAATAAAATTCCAAAGAGCAATAAGCTGCTCACCCCGCTCAGGAAACACAGCCATATATCATAATAAAATATACATAACTGACCCTAACGCCAGAGCCTGGCACTGAGGAGACAAGGGCCGCTAGATACAAGGCTGCCTTGTAATCACCTTTAAATGCTCCATTAACACAGCCACTCGATGCCGAGCTCAGTAGATTGTGGCTATTTGCAGGGATGTCTGGCACTCGGAAGAAATTTATGGCACTTATATAACCGATGGAAGAACTTTATAATTCTGGGTGTGTTCTGCCAGTATTTCAGACTACTAGCGCCAGAGGTCTTAGAAAGGAACATCGAAATCATGATGAATAAAACAGTAGTGGGAAAATATAGAGCTGAAGACATACCTGTAATGGATGAAAACCGTCTGACTTTCACAGCCCGGGCCTCTTCTTCAGAAAAGACCAGAGCTAGAAAGATTAATAAACTAGAACACTTCTTCTTTACAATTTTCTTAACATGTTTGTGAAGGTTATAATTCATCTGTAAAAAATAAGTCAAGGCAGCTGGACTTGCTGTATTTTTCTTGAAGACGTTTCACTGGTCATCCAACCAGCTTTCTCTATTCAGAATGACTTGTACAAAACATTCTCTGGGAATAAATATGGTGAATTTCGCTCTAATCCACAAAATCTGTCACAACCAGGTGTTGATTGCATTTGCACAATTGGAATCTAGGAAGTGTCATTAACCTGCCCAGGGAGAGGTGTTAAAACAGCACATACATATAGGGCCAGATTTACTCTCTCTGCTGCCCCAAGGCCAGGTTCCTCAATGTGCCCCCCTACTGGAGAATGGCAGACCTGCAGGCTTCATACAATGTCGCTGAGATCACATGTACAAAACAAGCCGTGGCTTCCCCGCTGTACATTTAGCTCTGCTTGCCCAAAGCAGGGCTAAATGTAGAAAACAACTTCCTGCGCCTGGGCATCGGGAGATAGGAATTCCACAAGGAATTCCACACCTCTGCTGCTCCTCTACTCCCTGCTGCCCCAAGACCGGGCCTTGGTTGGCCTTGTGGGATATCCGGCCGTGCATACATATTTATTCCCAGATAATTTTTTGTACAAGTCATTCTGAATTGAGAAAGCTGGTTGGATGACCAGTAAAACGTCTTCAGGAAAAATACTGCAAGTCCAGTTGACTTGACTTATTTTTTACAGATACATTTTCTTAACAGTTCATGATAAAATATTCCTTAATGGGCAGTATGATGGTTGAAGCTGAAATCCAGGCACACAGCTATATGAACTGATTAGGTACATATACTAGAGCTGTTTTACCTGCCTGTGTTTCTGTGCATCTAGTCCTGAGATGCAGCTCTGTCCCTTCTACAGCTCTGCCCCACAGCTCAACCGCATTTAGACCTGTAATTTCTCTGCTGCACTTTCACTTACAGGTTTGCTCCCCACTCATCTGTGACTGGACAGTGAAAGGAAAAGCAGCACACTGATAAGCCCTGTTGCCTTCTCCTATCAGAATGCTCCTTTTACTGCAACACACCTGATTGGCTCCTTGTGCTGATTCTCCCTCCCCTAGTTTGAGCTCTGCTGTACAGACTGCACAGAAGAATGCTGGAGGCTGATATTAAAGGAGAACTATGGGGTTAGGGCTTTTCCCCATAGTTCTCCTTAGGGTAACGGGAGGACACAAACTAGTGTCCTCCCGTCACCCTAAGCTCAGTATACCGCAAGCTACGCGAGTATACTGAGACGCCGCAGCTGAAGCGGATCCCGACAATTATGCCTGGATCCTCCCAGCTGCGTGAGTGACAGCTGGTTCTGCCTATCTAGAGGCAGAGCCAGCTGTACCCGCCCCCTCCCCCGTCCGTCCCACCAGTCAGTGCTGGAGGATCGGAGCCAGGAGGGGGGAATCCAGCCACTCGCCTGTCACGGCAGAGAGCTGTGACAGGATCGAGAAGTGAGCGAACGCCGGTATGTGTTCGCTCGCTTCCCGATCTACTGAGCCGACCTGTGACAGTCTCATTGTCACAGGTCGGCTAGAACTATGAGGTAAGTGAAAAGCACTCACCTCATAGTTCTCCTTTAAGTTACATTCAGGTACTTACACTGCCTGCTTTTAAAATGTAGTATTATAACAGAGCTGTATTAACCTGTGCCTTTTATATGTTACCAGAGTTCAAAGTAAAGTTTCTAACATTCTTGGCTTGCAGTGCTGGGACCCTAGATTTAAAGGAAAAGTAAAGTCAACCCATTTTTTTGGCTTTACTTCTCTTTTGGGTCACATATGTATATTTAGTAATGTACTCTTGGAACCCAAAGTCAGTATTTAGAGGTCTACAGCCCACTATATACTGACAGCACAGAGCCGTACTGTAGCTGGGAAAGATCCCAACAATATTGTAAAGATTCACCTGGCTGCCTGATTGACAGCTGGCTCTGCCTCTCCAGAGCCAGAGCCAGCTGTGCCTGCCCCCTCCCCTGTCTGTTCCTCCAGTGAGTGCTAGGGGAACAGAGAGGGGAGAGGGGGAATCTCTGATGGACACTCACTGATCTCTGCAGGGAGAAGGCATGAGCTGAGTGATCAACGGTCCCAAGATTGCTCAGCTCTCGGTATATAGGGCCGGTGTGAGATAGATTCCGGCTCTAAAGTATATTAAACCCTCCCAGTACTTCTCCTTTAAATCTCCATAATTAGCAAAGTGACAGATTCCTTTAAAGTTTTAAACTAATAGGGCAAGTATGAAAGGCAAGCATCAAGCAATGTCAATATTGTCAACCAAACTCTACTGTTGTCTAACTCCCATAAATGACCTGAAAATATCTAATGTCCCCATAAGCCGTTTTCCTAACATCTTGATCCACCGGTCAGGAGTTTAGATAGGCCGTAGTCTGCCAAGTACCCCTATAATCTATTTACTAGCGGTCGGCTTGAGATGAATAAAGAGTTTCCACCAGAAGTCTGTTTGCTGCGGTTCATTTTCATCACGGCCTTTTACGTTTGCTGAAATCATCGGCCTCAGTTTAATGTGAAGTGTCATAAATCAGCGCACGCTGTCTGTCTGTTGAAAGGAGGGGAGGCTATTTGTTGCTGCTTGGCCGGGCCTGCGGGCCTTTGTGAACACACAGACTTAGGGCAACAAGGAAAGCTTCTGTTAGTTCAAAGGGGATTGGGAAAACAAGGCAGATTAGGGGAACAAGAAAAGAAAAGTTCAAGAGGTCGAGCTTAAATCATGAGGCTTAGAAAGTACTCGAGTTGTAGGACGGTTGAGGCTTTAAAGAGCCACTAGGCCTAAAATAAAGGCTGACACGCACTTCATGATAAATAAATATAAATCTTGAGGGGAATTTGTCAAAACTGGAGCAGACAGAATCTGGAGCAGCTGTGCATGGCAACCAGTCAGATTCTCTCTTTCATTTTCAAAGCTTAACTTAATAAACTGAAAAGCAGGGGTAGGCATGCTCGGTACTCCAGTTTTTGTGGAACCACAAGTCCCATGAGGCATTGCAAGACTCTGAAAGCCACCGGCATTACCCCTAGAGGCAGATGCAGGCATCCCAACCTGAAAAAATTCATTTCAGGCAGGTGCCCTTCTCATTTCAGGGTGGTGCCAACCACCACCACCATCCCTGAAATGATGGCAGATAGCAGAGGAGCTAATGCTTCCCCTGCTATCTGCTGTTTTTTTTTTTTTTTATTCTGACAGCTGCTGCCATAAGAATAACAAACAAACAAAAAAAAACAACAGACAGCATGGGAATGAATAGCTAGATTGCTACTGGTTATTTCAATTTGCAATAGCCAATGGCAGGCTGGCTATTGCACCCACCCACTGCTGCTGTCAATCAAAAGAGGAGGACCTGATGGAGAACTTCAGGTCCTCATCTGCTGATGGGCAGCATCACAGAGCGGGTGCCATAGCCAGCCTGCCATTGGCTTTTGCAAATTGAAATAGCAGTCTCGCTATTCATTTAAATGCTGTTTTGTTTTTTACTCTGTAATATCAATATTAAAAAAAAAAAAAAACAGATAGCCGGGAAAGGTTCACTCTACTGGATAGAGCCGATAAAACCTTTCCAGAATAAAATGTTTCTCTCCCGGGCTTCTGGGAGCCACTATCCTATATCGGGAGACTCCTGGAACATCCTGGAGAGTTGAAATGTCTGCAGATGCATGCTGTGATTTGAAGTTTCACCATAATTGAAGTGCCGAGGTTGTCTACCGTTGGCTGGGAACATGCAAAACCACTTGAAGCAAGTCAAATGCATGTCAGGAGTACACCTGCATGTCAAATGATCCTGTCAATGGATTCTGAATGATCCCAAATGTGTCTTAAACTGATGCCATTGACCCAAGCCTCGATGTTACATATTGCTTAGCCTGTTTGTATGTTATGCTGTGGTATACTGTGTTTTGTTAGTGATTAAATTATTTTGCTTTTTATTGTGGGTGTCAAGCTGTTATTCTGGGAACAGAGCTGCATATAGTGGTTGCCAGTCTGTAAATATTGCATTCATTTTTGCCAAACCATGTTTGCATATCTTTTAGTCTTGCTCTGTGTGTTATATACTAAATGTGCCATTGTGGTTTACACAACACATTCATTGCAATCATCTGCCAAGGACTAGGGGTTCATGGTGCTGCTTCATCAGATACATGTATAAAAAAGCACAGAATTATCGGAAAGAATACTTAAATGTATGTCTGGGCAAACAAAGGAAAATAATATCAGTGCATGTCTGCAATACATGGACATTTCCCCATGTTTTATATATATAACACCACTGCAAGTACACAAGAATACCCGCTGATCTGGAAGAAATCTAGTGAGCTTCCAACTTCATGTAGTGAGCTGGCAATGTTACCTATGCTGCACTGAAGTCCCAAGGAGTGTCATCATCACTACCTTAGTTCTCCCCTGCTGGACTACAAAACAGCTCTGCCTTTTCTAACCCCCTTGCTTAAATTCTCACTCAGTCTCAAAACATTATCAGTACAGAGCAGAGTTCTGAGAATGTCACTGAGAAGTTTTGAAGATGAGGAAGAGAGGTGTTCTGTAGTCCAGCAGGGAAGAACACAGGCAGGGCTGGTACCATTGCTTTGTATTTCAGTGCAGCAGAGGCAGTGTTGATAGCTCACTACAGGAAGTTAGGAGCATATTGGTTTCTGGCAGGTTCAATACATATTTTTCTGTACTTGCAACCTTTTTAAAGTAACATTAAAGTCAGGAGTTACATTTTTAAAATGCATTTAAGTTCCTTAACTATCAACAAAAATGTATCTTATTTGTGTATTTGAGGATCTACAGCAGAGTGATACACAAATAAGTTAAATTTTTGTTAATAGTTCAGGTACTTGAATGTATTTTTAAAATATAAATCCTTAGTTTAGTGTCACTTTACAGAGACAAAACATGGGGAAATGTGCCTGGATTGCAGATGTACTGAGTATTTTTTTCTAATTTATTTTCCCCAGACATACAGTTAAGTGGCAGACATGGCGGTTCAGCAATTTTATCTTTTTATGCCATGGGGTCATGGAGATTGCTCTTCTACAAAACTGTAGTATGATCTGTGAAGTGAGTGTTTTTATGGTGCAGTGACATCATTAGAAATTCTGTATAGATGCCATGTTCAGTGTCAAGAGATGAAAAATTAATTTAGAATTCCAAAGCTGGTAAGCCCATCCCGAAGCTAGTAGAAAATTTTTAAAAAGTCAGGGAGTTTGACTTCCACTGACTTCATTGTTTTGCAGCAACTTCCAGCCACTACCCCAGTATGGTATGTGTAACAGCTGATACTAGTATCGGTATTAGTGCCAATACTGAGTATTTGGGTGAGTACCCATACTCGCCCAAATGCTCTGATACTTACCCCCGATACCGAAACTTCAGTACAGTGAGGAAACAGCCAATCAGCATCGAGTCAGCCAAACAGCTTGAAGCAGGCTTCCCAGCCAATAAGGAAGTTGGACGGCAGGTATTGACCCACCTCCTGGCTTCCTGATTGGCCAGGAAGCTGGCTCAATGCTGATTGGCCTTGAGGCCGGCTTCCTAGCCAATCAGCATCGAGCCGTCCAAACAGCATGTAGCCGGCTAATTGACTGGGAAGCCGGCTCCATGCTAGTTGAAATACATCATTACCTCTGACTTCGGCCTGGTACAGAAAAACAAATGAATCAGAGTTCTGCTTTGCCGGACCTGATTGTGCTGTGATGGAATATACATACCGTGGGTGTAACTTTTTTTGATACTGTGAATTAAAACATATTTGTCTCTTCCTTATTTGTTCTCTGATTAATAACATTCTCATAAAATATATTTAAAAAAAAGAAGAGAAAAAAAGAAACAAAGATCTTCTGGACTGCCTCAAAGTAATAATTGATTTATAGTAGTGGATGTTATCAGCAGCCTGTTCACAGCTTGTGGCTTAAAAATTAAGGCTTTAATGATTCTTAATGGGGTACCTGTATGCATTGTAAAGATTCCTCTTCTCGTTAATGTTTTGGCATTTGCCTTCAACAGAGCATGGCAGCGTAAAGTTTCTGGCTGGAAACTCCATAAAACAGTTATCGTGGCTGGTACAAGGTGTCTCGTCCATGCTGGCATCATCCAAGTCCGTTACTTTCAATTCACCACCAATGACCACAAACTGGCGAGGGCGAAAATCCAAAAGGGTAATGGAGCCGAGAGGGGAGTGCGCCAAATAGTGTAATAGCCGAACTAAGCTCAGACAGATCTACAATGTATAAAGAAAGAACAAAAGTCTTTAGTACAGCATATTCAAAAGCAGTACAGGTGCGTATGGAAACAAGGGTACATACACATAAAAGGGTCAGTGTTAGACTTACAGCAAAGATCAACATTAGGGTTAGTAAGGGTAAGGGTAAGTGTGAGGACCCTGATCAAGTAGGGCTTGGGGTACAAGAAGGGTTAGTGTGAGCACGGCAGCTATACATGGCTTGAATGTAGGCTGAATAAGAACAAAATTAACCAATTCATCCCTCTATGCTAAACAGCATAGATGATGGAATCTCCAACTGGGTATTGTATGCAGCCGTCGTGGCACCCCTGGCTGCCTAAATTCACTGGCACTACTGATCCGTGGCTGTATCTGAGAGGATGCAGTCACTGCTCAGCTGATAATTTTCCAGCCAGCTCAGTCCATCTAACTGGGTAGAGCAGAAAGGTTCCCCCATAGCTCAAATTTTTCTGTACTTTCAGCGTGTGTAAAGTGATAAAACATAAGAATTAGGGATGCACAGATACTTTTCGAGTACCAGTGCAGATACTTGGCATTTTCATGAGAACTACCAGGGTTGCAGCGGTTGCAGCTGGGACCGGGCTCTGGCACTCCTCCACTGTCCTGAAATCATTAGTCTGTATTGTTTTAGAAAAACTGTCACATGACTATAAACAAAAATGTATCAGTACTCGGCAAGTACCAGTACTCGTACTCGCAAAACTGGTATCTGTGCATCCCTTTATTTATATTTATAAAAACAAAATTGTACATTAAAACAGAGATGTAAAAATCCCAGAAGCTCCGTGTGCTCCCTACAGATGACAGCGGCCTCCTAACTTTTGAATTTTTCTCTAGTGTAGTCTTGGAGCTCAAAAGTATCGGTACATGTACTCGTACTTGTACCGAGTACTGTACTTGGTATCTGTGCAACCCTAATAAGAATACTGTACTTGTACTGCAAAGATGTACAAAGTATTTTTAAAAAATTAATGCTTTGGCATATGCTTTAAGAACCTGCCATGCCAGGATATAGTAAACAGAGATTCACTGAAGAATATGCTATGAAGTATTACTTACGCGAAATCTGTCTTCCCAAGAGGACTGTAGAAGCTGTATCATCTCCAGAGGGGAGCCCAGCTCTGTGATAGTAGTCAGGGCGTCAGCTATATCATTGCTGTCCTGGTAGCAGTAGCCATGTAGCTGAAACCAACAAAATATACAAGTTAGATCACATGAATATACTGAACAACACTGTGCATATGAAAATTAAAATATTTGTAAAGACAAATTTTGGGCGTTAAAGTCAAGAGTTAAAAATTAGAAACTTCAAAACTACCCTTGCAGTGGGGCTCTCCCCGCACTGAAAGGGTTAAATGTTTGTCTTGTCTTATACCTCACTACCCTGGCACCCAGTGTTCTCCTCTTCCCTTTAACGCTATGTGTTGTGAATGGGTCCTCTGTCCCCTTACACACAATGCAGGCTTGCTGATCCTGCATCGTACATGATGACATCAGAGTGCATTTTACAGATGGAGTGCCAAAAAAAAATAGGCTTTAAGGGACCAGTCACACAGAGAGGAGAAAGTTCAAGTGCAGCGTAATAGGACATGCTGTGCCCCAAGAAACACAATGCAGCGCAAATCAGGTGAAAGGCAGCCTCTGAAATGCCATGTGTCCTGCTCAATTGGAGTCGGTGGGATTTTGCTGACCTACTTTTGATGGGCATTTCTAATGCAGAAAAACAATGCCTGTGGACATAACCCTTATACCTAATAACCCTATACAAATCTCACAAGGAGATGTTCTTGCAATGGACTGGAGTGTCTTCTCATGGGGTTTCACTAGCTCTGCATTCTCCAGGTATCTTTCTGGAAGGATGGTGACATCTCACCCACGTATGCAGAAGACAGTGGTAAGGTACATATAAACGTAAAGTGTTTCTTTACAAATACATTTTGAAACTACTAACATTAGGGGGAAGGAAATGTGCATTACACAGTATGTGGACTTTGAATTGTACTGCAAGGTCTGCTTTAAAGCATGAAAGTCTCAATTTTAAAACACGATTTTTCAAGCTAACAAGCAGGCTCTTTTTCAAGCAAGGAGGACGTCATGACTAAAAACCAGCCTGTTTGTTGGCTGGAAATGTCATGTTTAGATATGGAGAATGTCATTATTTAATTGCTCTGTCTGTCTTGCACAAATAAAAAGCTATATAGACTGTACAGTTTCATACTGCAGTCCTTCAGTCATTCAGGCTATTAGGCTGCCATTTCCATGCACAAGGCATTTGCTAAAGAGTGAGCTGGTATTGCACTTTACTATTTTTAAACATAATTATAATAGTTGAGCTGAAAAAAACTGTGACTTTTTAAAAAATATCTGTGTGAATTGAGTGATTTATATAGTCTCAGTACTGTAAACTTCACACTATTTCTTTAAAACATTCCAGCGGACAGTATATGAAAGTTCAGTGTTCAGACATTCTCAGCACAGGAAGCAGATTGTGCAAGAACTGCAAGTGTGTCTTATCAGCACGACATATCTCTATAAAACACTGAACAGTGACATATAAAGAAGACAAACACACAGGAAGATAAATATCCTGAAAGACAGTATATATACATGACACACTGTGCTGAGATTGTGACAAAGGTACATTTTTGTTTACTCTTTCATGATGTCCTGCGTGCTGATATTGGCAAAGCCTAACTCCGGGCATAAATAAAATAAACTACAATGTACAATCCCCCCCATACAGAATATAATGCTTGTTGTAGTAGGGGGATGATCCAATACAGAGGAATACCTATATACCTGATCACTTGATTACTAAATGCTTGATTTGGTAAATAGATACGAAACACGTAAACCCTTAAAATTGCATGGGCCTGAGAATTGGTAAAAAATAACCATACCCAAAATTTCCCTTATGTGACACTTTAAAAGCTTTTACCGCTCATCAATTTAGTGTTAACAATGATTGATGGCCCTAGAATTATTGCTCTCACTCCAAAATCATGGTGTTACGTAACATGTTTGGCGCAATCATTATTTTTACATGACGGGCGTCCATTTATACCCGGTTACCCCCGACTCTGGCCAGGTCCAGAAAAACAAACGGATCGGAGATTCATTTTGCCAGACTTAATTGTGCCAGATGTGGGGTAATCTGATGTAAACAGACACAAGTCCACTTACTGTACACCCGATTCCCCATAGACAGACATGGGTTTGCGCAGTTTAAATTATTTCCTCCATCGCAAGGTGGAGAAAAAACTGTACGGAAATGGACGTCACAGCGGTGACATCCACTCTGTACTGCTCTGTGCACGCATTCCCTCCTGATCAGATCTCTTCCTGATCATCTTATGTAAAAGGGGCCTTAAAATCTAAGTCTACGACTGTTTTATACATCCGCCATATTTTCGGGAAAAAACAAAAAGCCCTGTAAAGCTCTGTGAAATATGTTGCTGCTATTTGACACCACGGCAATAATGATTTGATTGGTCATTAATATTGCCTTAGCTTAGACGGTAAGCACAAGCATACAAGCGACCGTCTGCACAATGTTAGACAGCAGCCTTTAGCTCAAGTGCTGTCTGGTTGGCTTGCTCCAGTGTTTGCAGTGTCTGCTCCCGTCTCCATTGTGCATGAGCTTCTTCAGACACTGTTGTGTTAATCTATATTCCAAAGGTTGCATTTTGTCGGTGACAGATAATACAAATTGGTTATCTGCTTTGATTTTCCAGGGAACAAGTTATTGTTCCACAAGTCTAGAAGCCCCCATAGCAGTCAGTTCAACATTCCACATTACCGCAAATTAAAGTGACATAGCTGCCCTTTCCTGACAACGAAATGCAGAGGTCAGTCTCGACACAAAGGCCGACAAGCTTGCCGAACAAAACACAAAATAGACTCCATTATTAAGTTGTCATCGCTTTCTAAGTATATGTAAACTACGGAATCCTGAACTGCACTAATGTAGAGTTACAAAAAAAAAAGGAATTCTGTCAGTTTCATCTGTCTTATTGACTTAGTCATACGCGTTGGATAAATGAATGGAGTGACGCTAACAGGGAAAGTTTGGTTTGGGGATGGGATGGGATAAAAATCCACAACCAATCCTTATTTAGTCAGAAAACTATCCAGTATTTACAAAGAAGTGTGCACACAGAATTCTCTACCGCCATGGAAAACATGCAAGTGGTGGAAGCAGATTGTTTAGATTATGTATCTTTAGAGCCAATTGTGGTGCCAGAGTATAACTGAAGATGCTTTATACAACAACACAAACTTATATTAAATAATTGTAGCCATTTTAAGCCAATCTGCATCTCGATTGAAGTGTATCTAAAGCTAAAACCTTTTTGGGACAGTTTACTCAGTTCGCATTATAATGAAGTAACTTCATTCAAATGTCAGCTGATTAACACTCATGAGGACCCATTATCCTTTGGTTTGGTGTTCTTTTTACTTCTTTCACCTTTGGACTTTTAATCTGGTTGCCCCAGCAAGTGACACATTGATTCATGAGAGAAATCTCACCAGAGCTAGTAAGCTCCACATATTCAACTGGTTTTCTTCAAACATGAAACTTCAATAATAGAAGCTCCAGTGCCTCGTACTTATAGTCTAAGGTTCCCATTCCCATAATGTTCCGTCTGTCTCTCGCTTTAGAGGTTCACCCTCTGTATCAATATTGGTGACCTGTCCTTGGATAGAGAATCTAAACTGTGAGTTTTCACCAGAACAGGAGTAGAAGTTAAAGTGTATCAACAGAACAAGTGTAGAAGTTAAAGTGTATCAACAGAACAAGAGTAGAAGTTAAAGTGTATCTAAAGCCAAGAACAAAATGTCATATATTGCACCTTACTAGTCCTTACATCTGGTGGCTGCATCATTTTCCTTGTCTACCCTTTTTTATATTTTTATTGACAGTAACATACTTTCTACCTTAGGGTGGCTGCAACCACTCTTCCAATGTATCTATGATGAAGCAATGTTGTCACCCTTGGACCGCAGCACTGTCAACCTGTGGTTAGTAGATGGACTAGTAGATTCATATGGACTTTAAAGTGTCAGGCAAAAGTGATTAAGTCTCCTTTACAGTAGCCCCATACTATTTACACATTAACATAACCCTCAGGGGAAAGTTCCACACGTTTCTCTCAAGTAAAAGGCACATAGCGAGGCTCAGTGGTCACGTGACCGCAAATAAAGATGAGAAAAAAAAGGTACTTTTATGCTGATATAAATAAAAAATATCTTAGAGTCATAGAACTATATTGCATCAGGTCTGTGGCTAATACAATGACTTTCCAACTACTTTATATCGGTGACAAACAAATTAAAGCCTAAATCCAGCTAACACATTTTAAGCAGTTACAGATAGAGTTTTTTCTTTCCCTTTGGGATAAAGGTTTTTATTAAATATTTAAAAGCTGACCATTGTAACCACCTCTGTCAGTGGTAAATGGTTTGTCTCAACCCTCTGGCCTACTTTTTCTGGACAGCTTGGTCTGCTAAAGTTGAAAAATAACAGACTTATTTGATGTAATAAAACTGTGTTACAGGGAGAACTCAGAATAACAAAGTCTGCTGTGGTAATGAGATTGACGATATTCATCATATATTTCATTTTTTATTTTGCCTATAGTTCCACTTCTTTTAATAGGGACACTTGTCCAGGTGATAACTGTAAAATAGAGTATTTCTGTCATTTTGGAGAAATTTTCTTGCACTTCCTGTTGTGTTTTTAGAAATATTCAATAAAGATCTGCATCATACAGTGAGGAAAATAATGATTTGATCCCCTGCAGATTTTGTAAGTGTGCCCACTTACAAAAAAATTAAAGGTCTCTCATTTCTATCATAGGTGTATTTTAAATGATAGAGACAGAATATCAACCAAAAATCCAGAAAAAACACATGATGCAAATGATATAAATTGAGTTGCAGTTCAGTGAGTAAAATAAGTATTTGATCCCCGAGCAAAACATGACTTAGTACTTGGTGGAGAAACCCTTGCTGGCATGCATACAGGTAAGACGTTTCTTGTAGTTGGTTACCAGGTTTTCACACATCTCAGGAGGGATTTTGGTCCACTCTTCTTTACATCCTCAAGGTTTCTTGGCTGTCGCTTGCCATCTCGAAGTTTCAGCTCCCTCCATAAATGTTCTATAGGATTAAGGTCTGGA